CCGAGAGATCTAGGAAAAGAACATGTGAAGGTAGTGACTCTTAGGAGTGGTAAGGAATTAACTGAGACCATATCCAAAGAAAGTGAACAGGTTTTGTCTAAACCCGAGACTACACCTATGGTCCCTGTTACTGAAAGTCCACCAAAACCTTTGGATAATCCACTTACTGAGACCACCACCTTTGTTCCTCCTAAGTTGGACTATCCTTTGTTATTTCTAGAAGAAGTTGCTAGGAAAAAGCCAATTGAGGATGAGGTTATAACAGGTCCAAAAACCAAAGTTGTAATCCCATCTGAACCTCAAGAAAGTAAGACCAAGACTCTWGGCACTCTGGACCCATYTTGCTCAGCACAACCAAACAAAGCTATCATAAAGCCAGTTTCTCTTTATGTTCCTTTTCCCCAAAGGTTAAGGAACCAAAAGGAAGAACTACAATTTAAGAAGTTTTTGGAAGTGTTTAAAGCCTTGCACATCAACATACCCCTTGTTGAAGCAATTGAGCAAATGCCTAGTTATGCCAAGTTCCTAAAAGATATTTTGAGTAAGAAGAAGAAGTTAACCGGATATGAGACCATAGCTCTTATCGAAGGATGTAGTGCGCTTCTAACCAACAAAATACCCCCTAAGCTTAAAGGCCTAGGGAGTTTCACTATTCCTTGTTCTATAGGTGGAAAGGAGATTGGTAAAGCTTTGTGTGATTTAAGAGCTAGTATCAACCTTATGTCTTTGTCTGTTTTCAACACTCTAGGCATAGGAGAAGCTAGACCCACCACTGTCACCTTGCAATTGGCCAATAGAAGCATAGCTTATCCAAAAGGTAAGATTGAGGATGTCTTAGTTCAGGTTGACAAATTCATCTTTCCGGCTGACTTCATCATCCTAGATTTTGAGGCTAATAAAGATATTCCCATAATCTTAGGAAGACCTTTCTTAGCCACTGCTGGAACTTTGATTGATGTCCAAAAGGGAGAGCTAACCATGAGACTTTAAGATCAGAAAGTCACATTAAATGTCTTTAATTCCTTAAAGTACCCTGATTACTTAGAGGAATGCTCAGGAATTACTGAGATTGAGACAATGTGTTATGAGGAAGGAGTTAGGAAGGCCTGTAAGCTAGAGGAGGAGGATAGTGTTGAGATAGGTGATGATACTGTTGAGGATTTAGAAGGTGATGTCCCATCTGATGCTGCAGCATTTGAGTTGTTGGACAATAGTGAGCTTAAGAATTTTACCCCGTCTATAATTTCACCACCTGATCTAGAGTTAAAGCAACTCCCATCTCACTTGAAGTATGCATATCTAGGAGAGGAAGGTAAACTACCTGTCATCATATCATCTACCCTAGATTTACATCAAGAAAAGAAGCTTGTAGATATGTTGAAGTTACACACCAAATCCATAGGATGGACCATTGCTGACCTAAAGGGGATTAGTCCTTCTATATGTCAAAATAAGATCATCCTAGATGAAAAGAACTTCAAATCTATAGAGCCTCAAAGGAGATTGAACCCGGTCATGAAAGAAGTAGTGAAGAAGGAAATTTTGAAATAGCTAGACGCCGGAATAATTTTTCCAATAGCCGGTAGTTCCTGGGTTAGTACAATCTAGTGTGTCCCGAAGAAGGGAAGGTTTACAGTTGTCACCAATGACAAGAATGAACTCATCCCCACAAGAATAGTGTCTGGTTGGAGGATATATATATATATATATATATATATATATATATATAGACTACCGAAGGCTAAACAAAGCCACTCAAAAGGACCATTTTCCCTTGCCTTTTATTGATCAGATGCTAGACAGATTGGCTGGAAAAGAGTATTACTGCTTTTTGGATGGATACTCCGGATATAACCAAATAGCCATATCTCCCGAGGATCAAGATAAGACCACCTTCACATGTCCCTATGGTACATTTGCCTTTAGAAGAATGCCCTTTGGACTTTGCAATGCTCCTGCAACTTTTCAAAGATGCATGATGTCCATATTCTCTAACATGCTTGAAAAATCCATAGAAATCTTTATGGATGATTTTTCAGTTTATGGCTCATCTTTTGATAATTGTTTAGAAAACCTAAAAAGGAGTCTTGAAAGATGTGAAGAGACTGATCTGGTTCTCAATTGAGAAAAGTGTCATTTCATGGTCAAAGAAGGAATTGTTTTAGGCCATTTGATTTCCAAAAGAGGAGTTGTGGTAGACAAAGCTAAACTTGAAATCATTGAAAAACTACCTGAACCAACTACTGTCAAGGGAATACGAAGTTTTCTTGGTCATGCTGGGTTTTACCGAAGGTTTATAAAAGACTTTTCAAATATCTCAAAACCTTTGTGTTTACTTTTGCAACATGATCAAAAGTTTGATTTTACGGATGAATGTAGAAATGCATTCAACACTTTAACCGCACCAGTAGTTGTTGCTCCTGACTGGAACAAACCCTTTGAGATCATGTGTGATGCTAGTGACTGGGATGTTGGAGCTGTCTTGGTTCAAAGAAAGGAAAAAGTTTTTCATTCAATCTATTATGCAAGTAAAACCTTGAATGAAGCACAACTTAACTACACAACAACTGAAAAAGAACTTTTAGCTGTGGTTTTTGCTTTTGAGAGATATAGATCATATTTGATGGGAACAAAGGTCATTGTTCACACCGACCATGCTGCCATCAAGTACTTGATTTCCAAAAAAAAAAAAATGCTAAACCTAGGTTAATAAGATGGGTTTTGTTGTTACAAGAGTTTGACCTTGAGATAGTGGATAGGAAAGGAGTAGACAACCAAGTTGCAGACCATTTGTCAAGATTAGAGAAGCCTAGGGAGACCCTAGAAGAAGGAAAGGTTGTTGAAATATTCCCCGATGAGAGAATTCTTGTGTTAGAATCAAAGCCCCCATGGTTTGTCAACATAGCAAACTTTTTGGCTTGTGGAATTAGACCTTCTGATATTTCTGGCCATATGTTCAAAAAGTTTCTCCATGATACTAAAACTTACCTTTGGGATGACCCTTACTTGTTTAAGATAAGTGCATATCAAATCTTGAGAAGGTGCATCCCTGAAACTGAAGTGGCAGCAATCCTGCAGCATTGCCACCAAGCASCATATGGAGGACACTTTGGAGGCCAAAGAACAGCTGCTAAAGTWTTACAATCTGGWTTTTATTGGCCTAMTCTYTTCAAAGATGMCCACAATTTTGCACAAAGATGCAATGAGTGTCAAAGAAGTGGATCCATTTCCAAAAGGAATGAAATGCCACTTAATGGGATCTTAGAAGTAGAGTTGTTTGATGTATGGGGGATAGACTTCATGGGACCATTTCCCCCATCAAATCATTGTCAATACATTCTAGTGGCTGTTGATTATGTTTCTAAATGGGTAGAGGCCATGGCTTGTGTTACTAATAATGCAAAAACTGTGGTTAAATTTCTTCAAAAACAGATTTTTACAAGGTTTGGTACCCCAAGAGCACTAATTAGTGATGAAGGTACCCACTTTGTAAACAACCTGTTGAGTGGAGTTCTTGAACAGTATAACATTAACCATAGAATAGCAAATGCCTACATCCCACAAACTAATGGATTGGCTGAACTCTCAAACCGTGAAATAAAAGGAATTTTGGAAAAGGTTGTCAAGCCAAACCGAAAGGATTGGGCTTTCAAATTATATGACGCTTTATGGGCTTACCGGACTGCTTTTAAAACACCTATCGGTATGTCCCCATATAAGCTTGTTTTTGGTAAAGCTTGTCACCTTCCTTTGGAACTAGAACACAAAGCATATTGGGCCATCAAAGAATTAAATATGTGCCCAGATATGGCTGCCAGTAAAAGAAAAGTCCAGTTGTGTGAACTAGAGGAACATAGGAATCTGTCCTATGAAAATGCCAAGATTTATAAAGATAAAACCAAAAAATGGCATGATAAAAGAATTCAACACCGGGAGTTGAGAGCTGGTCAGAAAGCTTTTTTGTTTAACTCTAGGTTGAAACTGTTCCCGGGAAAGTTCAAGTCCCGTTGGTCTGGACCTTTCCTCATTCATAAAGTTTATCCGTATGGAGCAGTTGACCTAATCAATCCTGATGACAATTCTGTGTTCAAAGTTAACGGTCAAAAAGTGAAGTTGTTTCATGATCCGGTAGAAATTCCTGAGTTATGCTCTGTGAATTTTGTTACCCTTTGCTAAAAGCTTCGGCATTTGTGGACTTTTTATAAGTCCAAAGTTATGTTTGTAAATAATTATTTCTGTTTTAAAGTCTGTTTTTCTAAATTATTAGTATTATTAATAATATTGTCATTTAAAATGTTTTGCAGTTTTGTCAGTCATCTCCAAGAATCTGAAGCCTTGCTGTAGCATCTGAAAACCCTAGCCTTTCATGGAGAATCTTTTGAAAATTTTAAAGCCCGTTGATAAGTGTTAATTTATTAACCTTATTACATCATTTTTTTAACCATTTTCCTTTGTTTTATTTGCCCATTAGTGTCCTAATTGAGTCTTTTTATGCC